TCTGCCTCTAGTAACTAAATTCTCTATTAAAGAACTAATGCCAGGATCACATCTACTTTGTTAAGTGAGGCATAGCTATACATGTATTTAAATCCATGGGAGTGAGCAACCTAGACACACAGTTGGACGTATCCATAGAGTATGTATCCATTAATTCAACAATTAATAGGTTGATTTTTTAAAAAAAATTACAAAAGACAAATTCTGATTTTGCCATTTTATTTAATTACTATGCCATTGTATATCATGGGACTTGAGCATCTACGGAGTTTGGTATCCAGGAACATCTTGCATAAATTATATAGAAAAGGAACATGTATACAGTTCCTTTCGACTTCTCCCCCACTGTTCTTTTCTGGAAATGAATACACAGAGACATATGCATTCATGTCCTATAATAAGCTTACCAATTGGCCATAATTTGAGGAATGGAGGCAGGAGGTTGCAATTAGTCTTTCAAAGAAAAAACAAACACACATAATAATTTAAAGACTAAGATATTTCATTTGGCACTTGACAGAACATGTTTTAGTTTGCAGAAGTCTGCATTAAATAAAAGTATCCTCAAGGTGCCACAAGAACCTTTGTTGAATTCACCACAAATATTTCAGCTCTGAATCAAACTCTTGGTTCCAGCTTTCCTCTAACCTTTTCCAGCAGATCATTCTATAATCTTGGGGCATCCAATGAAAAGGACCTTTGAGTGACAGATGCCAGTCAGGTTCTGGCTGGTTGGAAAGGCAGCTCTCCAGAGGACCTAAGTGTCAGGGGTGGATCATTAAAGGTCAAAACCAATACTTGGTACTTTGCTTGGAAAATGACTGGTACCCTGTGGAGTGATTTTAGTAGGGGTGTAATATGTTCACTCCTAGATGATTCCGTAATCAATCTGGCTGCCATGTTTTGGAGTTTCCATACTTGGCAAAGGTATCACTATCTCAGCCACTCATGTGGACTATTTTGGGTTTTGGAGTATTCTAGATTTCAGAATTCCAGAAAAGGGATGCTTATAATAAGATTCAAGCCAAAGTGAACCATAAATCGAACCATGGAGTCTGGCCTCTGCCATGAACTCTCTCAGAGGCTTTGGCAAGCCACTTGCTCTCAACTCCAGCCCACAAACCTTTACAGAGTATAACAAGAGCAACATAATTTAAAGATTAGTATTCAGATTGCAACTGCATAATGCGAAGTACTTGGAACGTTTGTTAAGATAAATGGAATGCATTTGTTATACTCCAAATGTAGTATGGGATCCATATGCCTCTACAAGAACCTCTCTTCACAGAGGTAGGATCTTCTAGCGAGGAAAAAAGTCTATGACCACATGGGCCAAATGTGTTTTAGACATGGATGATTCAAGGCCAAGCCAATGTCTGCATTTAATCAACATTTAAGGAGAGCAATGAAAGTAATTTTATGGTAGAAGAAGCCGGGTACAACTTCACTGAAACGACAGCATTAAATTCATAAAAAAGAACAGAAGATATCCCTAGAGCTTGCTATATAAAAATGTCAATATGTTCTTACATAAACCACCCTAGCTCATGTTTATAACAAAGTAAAACTTGTGTACACTGCCAGAATTCTTAAGAGTGGTTTTACATAACCGTTTCTCAATTGTGTTACTTCAAAGATAGATCATTACTGAAAACTAAATTGCTTCTCAGCCATGTTTATTCCGACTTGCAAATAATCTGTCCATTCTCTTGCTACTGAAATAATATGCAAAACAATACAATTATGTCCATGGACTTAGGAAATTTTGCAGGAAAATATGTTAACATCTATTGGACACACAGTCTTCAAAACCTGGCATGAATAAAGCCACAGTTTTCTATGTATCGTATGTCATTTATATTATCTATGAAAGTGATAAAAAATTTATAGAATAAGTCAATCAACTCAAAATCATCTGCAATGCATAAATCAGAAATGCCTTTTATGCCAGGTCAACCTGTCAGCTTTTTATACACTTGATTTTACGCCATCTGTAAAGGGCATGGTAGAGATCACTAAGGAAATTATACTTCTTGGCTGCTTGACTTTTGTTAAATAGTTGTATTGTCTTCTGTACACAGAAAATTTAATGACTTGAAGACAAAAGCTGATGCTTAATAATGTTTTTTTTCCTTTGAAGCTATATTATTAACTTGCATTGCAATATTGGCACACAGTGGAGTTTCAGGCATATATCTTCTTAGTTGCCACGTGGGCATGGACATATGTGCAAGTGCACACACAGACTTTTGGAAGTGTCAATAAATCAGATATATTGAGAGAGCAGTAAATATTATAAAGAAAAGTGAGGAAAATAAACTCATTATTCCAGGTCACAGTACAGCCCTACCAATGGGTATATATGGTGACAGATGTTGGGTAAAGCAATGGGAGCTACATAAGCCACGCAGTTAGTTTTGTATGTGCTAAACTAACTCGGTGCCCTAATGTGTGATAAATAACCCAATTCCATTGCTAGAATTTAATAAAGTCCAGTTATCAATCTCAGTCCCTTTCTTCACTTGTCCTTTGCCTCCAGCAGCAAAATATATGAGGCCAAAATATTTTTTAAAACCTGGTTATCTCCAGAGGTGATTACTTTGATTATTTAAGCAGAAACTCCACCCTAAGATGAATGAATAATCACAAATTACTTCTGAACAACTACTATTTTGAGAGTTTTAAGGGATTGACTAATGATGATGGTAGTAGAGCTGATTTAACAAAATATGGGTCATACTAAGCAGACATAAAGCAGGATGTGAATCTTTGAAAGCATATATGTTCTGGGGAGATGAAAATGTGTTGCTTACTTTTCTCCCACATCCAGTCTCAGAATCCTATTAAGAGAAACCAACTGGAAAAAGTGGCTTCTGATGGGAATGTACAAGGCAAAGGTCTAGACTTCCAATCTTCACGTGAACCACCCTCTAATTCCTTTATATTCAATTAACTGTGTTCCTGAGCATATCAACATATATATCTCAGATTTGAAGAGCCAGATAGGAGTACTCCTTATGGACGTGACAATGTTTTTGTTGTTGTGTGCCTTCAAGTCATTTCTAATTTATGGTGATCCTAAGGTGAACATACCATGGGGTTTGCATGGAAAGATCTGTCTTCTTGTGAGGCTCAGAGTGTCCAAACAGGTATTTGAATCCTGGTCTCTAGATCACAATCAATGTGCAAAAAATCACAACACATTGTCTCTAGGCAATAGTTCATGGGATTAGAAATAGAAGGGGGAAATCATCAAATAAACAATTTGTCCCCTATAGGAGTAAAGTCAGAAGAACTAAAGCTCAGAATGACTTGGGCTTAGCAGAGAACTCAAAATAATAAAAAGGAAAACTGGGGCCATGTTCAGAGAGGGATCTATGGATCATAGACTAAAGATAAGTCAATAGTGTGATGTGGGAAAAGTCAATAGAATTACAGTACTCAAATCAAGCGAAGCAATATAGTAGTACCACTCTATTCTGCTTTGGTCATATCACATCTGGAATACTTAGTGTTTCAGATCTGGACATCACAGGTCAAGAAGGATATTTACAAGCTGGTAAGTGCCCAGAAAACAGCAAAGGCCAGGAAACCAAGCCTTATGAGAAACAACTAAGAAAGCTTGGTATGTTTAACTTGGGAAAGGGAAGACAGACATGATAGCCATCTTTAAAGATCTAAGATAAATAAACCAATGAATTCAAATGATAAGAAAGGAGGCTTCACCTAAACTTCAAGAACAGCTTCTTTACTGTAACTGCTGTTCAACAGTAGAATAGATTGCCTGGCTGACTCTCCTTCTTTGAAAGCCTTTGAAGGCCTTCATTGACAGGTTTGTTAGGCATCTCTAAGGAGTGCTTTAGATGTGTATTCCTACATGATAGAAGGCTGGACTAAACAGACCTTGAAGTCCTTTCCGACTCTCTATCAGAGAGGCAGTTCGCTTACAACACAGGAAACAGTTCCAAATACATGTCCCCAGAGAAGAGGATGTGTCTTCCAGATGTTTTGGACTAAACTCTGATAATCCTTTACATGACTGATAGGACACATTGGCCGATGGGAGGATCAAAGTTTTCCCAGCCATGCCACTGAATTCCCTAACTTTTACCATGAGTTCCCTGTGGGTACTTGGTCACACTAGATTTTATGATAAAGATGAAGGTATTGGGAATATTTAAGGCTGCAGTACTAAACATACAAGGTTGGTCACAGGTCACACTGAAATCCAGGGGACCTCTAAATATAAGAAAGAGTGTAAACCTCTGTTTCAAGCATAGTACAGTACAGTTTTGAGTTTTTCTTATTCCAAAAGTGCTTTTGGATTTTGAGGGGGGGGGTGTTAAATTTTAGAATACCTATATTTGGATATATGTACATAATAAGCTATCTTGGAAATGGGATTCAAATCTTAACACAACGTATGTTTCATATGTACCTTATACATTAAGACGAAAGGTAAGTTCATAAGCAATATTTTTGTGCATGAAACAAAGCTTGTGTACACTATGCCATCAGAAAGCAAAGGTGTCACTATTTTAGCCACCCGTGTGGACAATTTTGGCTTTTGGGGGGTTTCAGAATGCCAAACTTACATTACAACAGGTGTGTGTGTGTCAGGAGTGACTTGAGAAACTGCAAGTCGCTTCTGGTGTGAGAGAATTGGCTGTCTGCAAGGACATTGCCCAGGGGACACCTGGATGTTCTGATGTTTTACTATCCTTGTGGGAGGCTTCTCTCACATCCCTGCATGGGGAGCTAGAGCTGACAGAGGGAGCTCATCCACGCTCTCCCTGGATTTGAATCTCTGACCTGTCGGTCTTCAGTCTTGCAGGCACAAGAGTTTAACCCATTGCGCCACTGGGGGCTCCTTATTACAACAGTAATTGTGGCTCACTACTAAGTAGATGACTTTCAAACAACAGACTTGGGTGGCTGATGAAGAACATACCAGATGAAGACAAATGGATTTTCTTTTCATCAGGAGTAATGCTGTTTACCTGATTGAATGATTTGAAGATGAATTCCTTGTATATGGCATCTCTTTCTGTGAGCTCAGACCAACCAGTAGCTTTGAGATCGTATAAAACTTGGTTCCTTTCTTCTGTGGTCAACCAATGAGCCTGTGAAGACTATGGCAGGAAAGACAAAAAGAAAATACATTAACACTAAAGTTAGGAAGTTCTGCTTTTTATCAACAAGAAGAATATATGTCCTATCATACTGGAATGTGTGTTTACAAATAAAAGTTTGAAAGAAACTCTGGCCATAGAGGACACAATTTTGTATACTGTTTAAATTATATGCATAATAGTGACGATTGAGCTATATTTGATTGATAGATAGACAGATAGATAGAATTGTCCAAGTAGATATGTGCAGTGGTTCTCAACCTGCGGATCCCCAGATGTTTTGGCCTTCAACTTCCAGAAATCCTAACAGCTGGTAAACTGGCTGGGATTTCTGGGAGTTGTAAGCCAAAACACTTGGGGACCCACAGGTTGAGAACCACTGTGTTAAAGGATGGAAACAGAAAACGTATTTAAAAACCCTGCTAATGTAAGTTGAAAAACAAATGCTGCATGCTGACTTTACTAAAAGTGGGAAGGGCAGGTCTATGAGGGACCTCTTTGTGACAGCCATGTTATGTAGTTCAGAGTGAATAAGACAGATCAAGCTTTAAGTGGTTTACAATTACGGTATGAGAACTTTCTTACAGATTGGATTGAAATGGAGCATTTATTCAGGGCTTCAGCTTTTTAGTGGTATACGTGGACTGTACTACATTTTGTATTTGATCCTAAGCAACAGATGAGCCGAACAACAGGGTGGAACTAGTTCTTAGGTGGGAGCATGTTCTCCTGGTATTTGTTTTGCAGGGGAAGATCAAGCCAAATGTAGTCATATATGCACACTAAATTTGACAAAAACTGATTTCAATTAAGCTAAAGGAAACACTGAGTGAGATGTGGGAATCTTGCAGTTTTAAAACAGGAGTGTTTTGGTTGTTTATTCTTGAATTGCAGAGGTCTAACCTAAATGCAGTTTCCTCCAACTTGAGGACTCTGTGATTCTAAAATCCACATTAAGACAGATACTTCTACCTATCGTTTTTCTAAGTGTAGACTCAACTAACACACGTTCCAAGGAAACAAGGCAACATCTTGATGCAAGTCCATATTTGTACCCAAAACTAATGAATGCAGTTTTCTAAGTGTTAACCATTATTCTAGTACAGGCTGACTATCCCTTATCCTAAAAACATAGGACCAAAAGCAGTTTGGATTTCAGGTTGTAGAAGGCCTGTATTTGCATATACATAAATAATATGCTTGGAGATGGGACCCAAATCTAAACATGAAATTCATTTATGTCTCATATACATCTTATATACATAGCTGAAGATAATTGTGTGTGTGTGTGTGTGTGAGAGAGAGAGAGAGAGAGAGAAATGTTATTTATAAAGCAAACCACACGAAAGCAAAGGTATCACTATTTCAGCCACCCATGTGGACAGTGTTGGATTTTGGAGTATTTTGGATTGCAGAATTCCAGACTAGGGATGCTCAAGCTGTACCTTCATGTATGAGGAATCAGGTGGCCTGTGACGACTCCCAAGTTTGCTTAAGTACAAAATAAATGCTAGAAGGAGAAATGAGTAGTGAGAGCCCAATAAAGTCTTAGTAGGCTGACTGCTGGTCAGAGGTGAAATGGATAAACTGGAGAATAAGTGATAGAAATAGAATGGCTGGAACCTTGAAAAGACATGTTCCATATTGTTACACTGAGTAGCAGGTGCCACCTGTTTGCTCCAAGTAACTTGATTTATAAAGATACTAAAGTTAGGGTCAAAAATGTTTTGAGATCCAAATATAATAAATACATTTTCACTTAATCTGTTTCTTCTCATATTTTGATGATCAGACACATTTATGTACTGCAGCCTAGATGTCAGGTTTTACAAAGTATTGCAATGTAATATAGCTGGGCCATGCACTGCTAATGGGCTTCTATTGGAAATGCTGAGTCATGCATTAACTGTATATATAACTTCATTTGGGGAATGTGTTCTGGCCTAGTCCAGGTGATTGTGAATGATGTAATCCTGGGTCTGAGTTAAGTTAATGAGTTGGGAACCAATCAGAGATTGCTATGTGTGGTTGTATAGAATTGTATATAAGCAAGTCATGTACAGTGCATTATCTCTCCTTCTGATGTTGTTCGTCGAAGGCTATATATAATTAAAGAACCTGTCTGCTAAGACAAGATATAACTGTGTGCTGTGGTAAGTCTGTAATATCATCTAGACCGGGGGAAAGACAATGGTAAAACTGACAATGGCCAGGCATGTGCTCAAGTGTCTGTAAAAGGTTCCAGAGTGACTGCAGGCTGTGGGAGCAATTGACTGAAAATACTGTGCAGGAAGAAGCTACTGGAAAGCGCTGAAGTTGTGCAACTGATCTGCTGCTGAATTGTGAAATTAATCTAAACAATTTTCCCAGTATTTCCCAGCTGTTCAATCATTACAATACTCTAGCTGATCAGTATTGCCACTATTATCACCTATCATATATTCCAACCAGGTTTCATTATCTCATTAGACATGATCCACTTTAATATCCTCGCACAATTAATTTAAAATAAAGCATTCCATTAAGCCACTGCCCTTTCAAAGACTAAATAAAGTAAGTTTACTTAAGGGCAAATTAACATTTCAATTATCTGTTATTTAAATACTAGTTACACAGTTGAGTAACTAAAAACTAAAATTGATCAGCATGCTTATATACGGGAACAGCAGACAATTTTGGAACTTATATTTTTGAGCAAGTGCATCTGTTATATGAAGTATTAAGCTTGACCACCAGATGGCGCTACATTTCAAATTTAAATATCTCTTTAAAGAATGTAGGTTTGCAACATCTTGCTTTATTAGTTATCAAAACACCAAAATAAATGTGACAAATTTAAAAACAACTCCTAAAAACAAAACAATCACAGTATAGAAGAAGAAAAGCTATACATCTATTCCACAATTTGATTCACAATTATTTTCCGTATTTTATTCCTATTACAATGCACTAAAATAAAATAGGGCAATTTAATAGGGACTATCCAGCATGTGTTTGTTTATATTTATTTCCTTCAAGACAAGAATGGAACATGTCTTACTTTCTTATTTATACAAATTTAAATAAAGTTTTTATTTCTAACAGCCAGCATAGTGTAGAGCAGGGGTCCTCAAACTAAGGCCCGGGGGGGCGGATACGGCCCTCCAAGGTCATTTACCCGGCCCTCACTCAGTGTCAACCTAAGTCTGAAATAACTTGAAAGCACACAAGAACAATCCTATCTCATCAGCCAAAAGCAGGCCCACACTTCCCATTGAAATACTAATAAGTTTATCTTTGTTAAAATTGTTCTTCATTTTAATTATTGTATTGTTTTTATGTGCTTTTTGCACTACAAATAAGATATGTGCAGTGTGCATAGGAATTCACTCGTGTTTCTTTCAAATTGTAATCCAGCCCTCCAACAGTTTGAGGGACTGTGACCTGGCCCTCTGTTTAAAAAAATTGTGGACCCCTGGTGTAGAGGTTTGAGCACTGAGCAATGGCTCGGGAGACTGAAGTTTGGATTCCTTTTTCGTCATGGAACTCATGCACAAGTCACACTCTCTCAGACTCATAGGAAGGCAATTTATGTTTGTATTTTGACTCATCTGGTACATGTTTATATTTGTATGATTGTATATATGTATTTATAAGTATTTAAAAATCTAATTCCCTATCAGAAATAAATACAATGCTGCTCAGAATTCTAAAAAAAGGACAATAAATAGAGGTTGAAATACTGTGAATAAACAGAGAGAAGTGGCCATGATTTTCAGCCTCACATATAAATTGTGCATGCTTTCTTGGAGCCAACCTTAGTCCAAGGACATTGACATCAATCTATTTGTCCCATCTCTCCATTTTGTCATTAAACTCAGGATATCATTTCAGTTCTTTGGAGACTAAAAATTTATAGACACAGAAAATGTAAACACAGAAGGAACTGTCCACTTGACCCTGGGCTGTTTTATGTTGATGTGGTACAGTACATTGAAAGAACTTTAACCATTGGTGAACTCAGCCTGAATCCTTCATGGAAGCAAAAATGCAGATTGCATGGAGTTTCCCACCTTGTGGAAGTTTGTAGTTGTATTCAGCTAGCAGCTGTTAAAGTTCTTTTTCCAATCTTTTTTTCTATCAACACAAGATTGGTGTATGTTTCCATCAATCATTCATGCTGAAAAATTTCTGGATTCCTGACCAAAACTAGACCACCAGTAATACAGATCAGATCAGATAGAGAGTGACTGTGATGCAATGGCTTTAGGACTCTAGAAGACTACAGTTCAAATCCCTACTCAGACATGGAAACCCAAAAGGCAATACTGGGCACAGTTCACTCTCTCAGCCTCAGAGAAAGGCAGTGACAAACTTTCTCTGAGCAAATCTTGGAAGGGAAACTCCAAACGAAGGCTGCATCTACACTGCAGAATTAAGACAGTCTGACAACACTTGAAATGCCATTGCCAAAAGCTATGGAATCATAAGAATTTTACTTGTGCAAAGAATTTAGCCTTTTCTGGTAAAGAGGGTTGGGTCCTCATCAAACTACAAATCCCATGAGTCCATAGTATTGAGCCATGGTAATTAAAGTGATGTCAAACTGCATCAATTCTACAATGTAGATGCATCCTAAGATCCCCTGTGAGTCAGAATAGACCTAAAGGCATATAACAACAGACTAAAAGGTAGACCAAATTAAGACATGGCCATACGCTCTGTCTTTCTGATATGAATTCAATTAAAATATTTTTGTATTTACTGAACTCTCTTTAACCCAGACTTGTGGGAGAGTGCAATCATTAACTCGTGGGTCAAGACTAGCTATTTCAGTGGTTCATCAAATGTTGGCATTTCAATGTCCAGGCACTGTTTACTTTTGCCATTGCCCAAGCTATCTTCCAACTTCAACATTTCTGCACAGGAAAATCATACCATAATAGAGTGTCCATACATTTACACTAAAATGTTCTCTTGTGGAAGGCATCAGCAAATTATCTCTCATTGCCCTGACTCAATGGACAGAAATTGCATTTTCTTTCTTTTTTAATACAAATTGCTGAATGACTTATTTATACCTTGAGAATGATTGGGTTGCTGTGACTTTTCCGGGCTGTCTGGGCATGTTCCAGAAGCATTCTCTCCTGATGTTTCACCCGCAACTATGGCAGGCATCCTCAGAGGTTGTGAGGTCTGTTCGAAACTAAGCAAGTGGGGTTTATGTATATATCCGTGGAATAATATCCAGGGCGGGAGAAAGAACTTTTGTCTGTTTGTCAGGACAGTAGATAAAGAGCAACACAGAGATAACAGGAAATTTCCAGACAGGAAACAATCAGGCCCAGCTAACACCTCCCAACAAAGGATCCCCCAGGCAGGATGCAGCCAGGCTTTGAAACTGCAAAGCCTCTCAATGCTATTCAAGCTGGCCAATGGCAACATTCACACTTGCCCCAAACAGACAAAACTTCCTTCTCTCACCCTCGACATTATTCCACAGAATTACGTGGAATCACTTGCCTAGTTTCCAACAGACCTCACAACCTATGGATGCCTGCCATAGATGTGGACAAAATGTTGGGAGAGAATGCTTCTGGAACATAGCCATACAGGCTGGAAAACTCACAACAACCCAGTGATTCCAGCCATGAAAGCCTTCGACAACACAAAGCTTTGTTGGTTGGTTTGTACTACAAAGAGTTGATGGATTTGGACCACATTTGGCACTCACACCCTTCATGACCTGGCTTAAAATAATTGAAGATTTCAGCTGTAAAATCCACCCCATTTTGGGAGGAGAGCTTCAAAAAGTATAGAGAGAGAAAGAATTAGAGACTGACCTATAGGTATGCAGTACTGACATGCAATTGCAAAAGGGCAGGATACAGTGTGGGTTCCAAGAAGCTGGGGGCTCCTTACAATCCCAGGCGCGCGCACACACATACCACTCTAGGATCCTACTGCTTTCTCCATTACTGAACATCTCCATTACTTAGGACCAAACACAAAATAGTCAATCTTTGTGATGGGAGAACAAATAGTTTTCAATGTTTCAAAGTAGCAAGAGTTAGTGCAACATGGTGTTTCTGGATACAACTTGGGAATCCTCGTGGACAAGTTAAACATGAACCAACAATGTGAAGCAAAAAAAGTTCATGGGATTTTGGCCTGCATACATAGGAGTCTAGTGTCTAGATCCAGGGAAGCCATGCTACCCTTCTATTCTGCCTTGGTTAGACCACACCTGGAATACTGTGTCCAATAAGAGCTTAAAGAACCTGGCTATTCGAGAAGGCATTTAACTGAGTGCTATACTAATTGGTAATGACAACTGGAACGGAATGGATTACGAGATTGGTTACGATTCGATGATGGAACGGAGCGGATTATTTAGTGTAATTTAGATTATTGTGTATTATTGATATGTTGTTTTTCTGTTTTGTTCTATTGTAAACGGGGGTTTTTTTATATGTTGTACACCGCCGCGAGTCGCCCTAGGGCTGAGAGCGGCGGTCAACAAATGCATCAAATAAATAAATAAATAAATTCTGGGCCCCACAATTGAAGGGAGATGTTGACAAGCTGGAATGTGTCCAGAGGAGGGCGACTAAAATGATCAAGCATCTGGAGAACAAGCCATATGAGGAGCGGCTTAAAGAGCTGGGCATGTTTAGCCTAAAGAAGAGAAGGCTGAAAGGAGACATGATGGCCATGTATAAATATGTGAGAGGAAGTCACAGGGAGGGGGTAGCAGGCTGCCCTGGAAACTAAGACATGGCGCAACGGCTTCAAACCACAAGAAAGGAGATTCAACCTGAATTTTAGGAAGTACTTCCTAACTGTGAGAGCTGTTCAGCAGTGGAACTCTCTGCCCCAGAGTGTGGTGGAGGCTCCTTCTTTGGAGGATTTTAAACAGAGGCTGGGTGGCCATCTGTCAGGGGTGATTTGAATGCAATTTTCCTCCTTCTTGGCAGGGGGTTGGACTGAATGGCCCATGAGGTCTCTTCCAGCTCTATGATTCTAACTAAAGTGCTTGATAGGGGCTGAAGGCAATGTAGGCATTTTGATTTTGGAACTGCTTTGTTTTGACATGGACTCCCAGCCATGCTTATGTCCATTACTCACCTGCCACACTGAGAGTGGACCACTACATACCCGAAAATGCACCAGATCCCGCCTAAGCCTGGAAACTAAGCAGGTGTGGTAGGCTTTATATCAGAGGCAGGGACTGGCAAGGGCCCCTCTGAGTACCCCTTGACGATGAAAGCCCTGTGAGAGCCACATGCTTGCTCTCCTTCCTCCTCGCCCAGCCACCCACCCACCCGGAAGCCCCTCACCATGGCGGAGAGCTTCCTCCTCGCGCTGCGCCCGGCCAACTCGACTTGACCCGCGCGCAGGATCCGGAGCAGGGCTCTCCCGCCCCCGACGATGCGCAGCATGGCTGGCAAGAGCCCTCCAGGCCTCGCCCACCTTCCCCGCGCATGCGCCCTCCTCCTCCTCCTCCCTGCGACCACAATGGCTGCCTAGCTGGAAAGGCGGCAGGTGTGGCTTGTCAACTGATTGCCTGGGAAGCAATCTCCCCCCTCCCTTTAGGCATTGCGGTTACTGGGGCTTTAAAGTTGTACGACCCAAAGCCAGGGATATCAGCATAAAAAATAATCTTGGCATGCACCCACACTATGGAATTAATGCAGTTTGACACCACTTTAAAAGCCATGGTTCAGAGCTGTGGAATCCTGGGAATTGTAGTTTGACAATGTCCTGGTTTTCTGTAAAAAAAAAAAAAGGAATCTCTGGCAACACACCTACTTCATTAAATAACACACGCCTGGATGCCCAGGACCGTTTTTGTTTTGTTTTTTTTCAGTATCAGGAACAACCTGTGAAACTGCAAGTCGCTTCTGGTGTGAGAGAATTGGCCGTCTGCAAGGACGTTGCCCAGGGAACACCTGGATGTTTTGATGTTTTACCTTCCTTGTGGGAGGCTTCTCTCATGTCCCTCAATGAGGAGCTGGAGCTGACAGAGGGAGCTCATCCACACTCTCCCCAGATTCAAACCTCCAATCTGTCAGTCTTCAGTCCTGCTGGCACAAGGGTTTAACCCATTGCACCACCTGGGGCCCCTTAAGACTGCAAGCCTGATCATAAACACAAAGAATTCCTCAGAAATTCCTCATTAGTACGGTTTCCATTTGCATGACAACAGCAAGTGTCATATTCAATCCCAAATTGCATGCATAGGAAAACAAATGAAAACGAGACAAAAAGGCCATAACTCCATCCATTCCACCATTCAAAAGTCTAAACATGAAAGACTGTATTTGCACACAGGAGCTTACCCAGCTCCACAGAAATTTGATGAAGACAGAAGGGAAAATCTTAATGATTTTACTTGTAGCCACTGTTCTCCTGTCCATCTAACATTCAACTCAAACAACAAGGTTTTTCCATTCTGCTCAAAAGCCCGCTATGTCTTCCAAAGTCTATTCCAACCTCCAAAATCAGGTTTTAAGGGTGCAAGGAGTGGGGAAATTGTCTTCATTTTATTCCACTGAAACAAGGTATGCCATTGATCAAAAGAGCTAAGTGGCTACAACATAAAAGGTAAAAATTTCTCCTCACATGAAGTCTCGTTCTTCCGACTCTGAGGGGTGGTGCTCATCTCCATTTCTAAGCCAAAGAGTCGTCATTGTCCATAGACACGTCCAAGGTCATGTGGCCAGCATGACTGCATGGAGTGCCATTACCTTCCTGCAGAAGCAGTACCTATTGATCTACTCACATTTGCATGTTTTCAAATTGCTAGACTGGCAGAAACTGGGACTAATAGCAGGAGCTCATCCCACTCCCCGGTTTTGAACTGCCAACCTTCCAATCAGCAAATTCAGCAGCTCAGTGGTTTAACCTGCTGCGCCACCAGGGGGCCCAGCTACAACCTAGTGTAGTATAAATACTTTGAATACCTCTGTTTATTCAAACTATTTTAGCTAAAATGCCAGTTTCAACATGAGACAAACTAAATTATAACCATTGCAGACCCTTTAAAATGATACATTAGTTCACAGGAATGCTTAGATTATAACATTGCTAATCAAGAAACAATCTACATTTTCTTTTCCCCAGCTTTAGCAATTTATTTATTTCCATATGCATTCTTGCTTTTAGAATGCAAAAACTATATAGCAAGTTCAGCCACAAATGTTACATTTTGCTCATCGGAAAGAACAACTTCTCTTTAAGGTTTTGATACCTGAGCACTCTCACTTAAATATTGTAATAAAAAAAAACACATTTACGAAAGCATCAATGTGTCACAATTCTCTCCAGTGGCATTATAGGTTCAGGAAAGGGTAAAAGTATTTTAGCTGGGACCCAATGCTGGTTACGCTGGTTGTGCAATGCGGGTCTGAATTAATGAAGGGAACACGTGCAAGAGACAGCCCAGTGTTCGCCAGAAAGGGGGAGAAAAAACATTTCTATCCTGTTTACTGTCTTCATAAGGCGTGGTTTAGCATTTAACAGTAAAAAAAACTCTAACATTTGTTTACTTGCCTTAACCACAATGTTTCCCTGTTTATTGTTCCCCCCTTTCTATCCCCCCCCTTTCTGATCTGCATTGGGCTCATCTTCCATTCCTTTATTCTGAACCGCCTTACACAAGTAGCGTACCGTTGGGTCCCAGCTATCATACTTTTACCCAGGAAAGGACCCTGGATGCAGCCAAGCAACTGACAAAACCTATTCTGATAAATTTCCCACTTAACATTAATTAGTACAAATAGGGAAGCACCTCGTCAGATACTGCAACCAAATATAACTAACATGACAACACATCTTACCAAAGCATCTGAGATGCAAAACTCTAGAGCAGAAAGATGAGATAATTTTCCAGAACATTTCATAGTCAATACCTCATTTTTCCATACTACATTCTTAAGCACTTGTAGTCATTCTCCAATGTGCAAAATTTTCCTGTAGTTTTTGTTACAAAACTGTAATTTAAAGCACTTAGAAGTAAATAAATAATTCAAGAAAAGTTCTTGTACCATAAATAAAATCAGCAAAGTGATGGTGTGTGGTTTTAAATATGTGATGAACACAGTTCTGACTCAAAAGATAAAAAGTCAAAGAGCTGATCCATTGTACAATTTTATGTATTTCAACTTGATCTGAAAACACAAAGAGTTCACAGTTTGCACGTCATTCCTGATGCTCCTGATCTTGGCCAGGTATTAACCACCGGATGCTCTCTGTACGAATAGTAGCATACATGATGAAACTGATGAGAAACAGCAAGGAGAATAAAAGTAGCCAGTCTACTCCTCTGCTCAGAGTGCTGGGCAATGGGCCTGCTTGATCTTCTTCAGTGACTACTACATCAATCTTGGGCTCTATCCCTGAAAGAAAACATCCATTTATTAGCTTGATACAAATTTAAAAAAATTATGCCAGAGATATTTGCAAGTTATCTCTATTTTCCAATTAACATGGGGGTAAGTTCAATAGCTATTATTATCTGCCTTTTTTCATTTGAACTCTACAGATTTCACTATATATTTCTGTGTGACCTTGGTTGATGTTAACTATCAGTATTACACAAAATGGGACACTCGCATTTATATGTATATTATTCTCTGTGCACTGATATTTCCACTTCTTTCTGGCAAAGTATCAGAAAGTTTATAGTTTTAAGAATATATTTTATGCATACTTCTTTATTATCAGCTAGACCTTTAGAAATTCAGTTATGTCTTCTGCTAGTTCCTTTCTTCAGAAAATCAACCAAAAAACATAGGGCCCTTCCACATAGCCATATAACCCAGAATATCAAGGCAGAAAATCCTACAATACCTGCTTTGAACTGGGTTATCCGAGTCCATACTGCCATAAAGCCCAGTTCAATGCAGATAATGTAAGATTTTATTCAGCTGTGTAGAAGGGGCCAAAACCATATTCTGGGATATAGGGCTGTGTGGAAGGGCCCTGAGTCCACACTGGCATATATTCCAGTTCAAAGCAGAAAATGTGGAATTTTATTCAGGTGTGTGAAAGGTGTGGTTAAAAAGGGAAACTGAGAAATAAGAAATATATACCATTATGCAGAGTTGGGGAGATCTAAGTTTACAAAGGTTGGGGGGGGGGGACCTTCAGAAACAAAAACAAGAAGCATGGAACAGAGTATCTTGAAAGAATGTATGATCAGTTTATTCCAACGCAGATTACTGGAGTAAACTGATCATTCACTGCAGTACACTTTGCATTGATTTTCATTAGTGAGATTACGATTTTCTTCTGTCTTCTCAACAAATCATAATCTGTGATCAAGGCTGAAAAGAATTTGCCAGCTCCATCCTAACACAGAGCAGCATCAACAGAGCTCTAAAACAATCCTAGAATTATACAACTATGACTTAGATAAAGTATCTTGGACTACAAATTCTAAAGTCCTGTTAAAAGTAACTGTCTTACCTGTCTGGTTGAAAAGAAAAGCTTTCAATGTTTCCAGGGTCCGATCAGTATGGTTAAACCTTGCCATAGGCTTGGCTCCTTGGAAAAGAAGGATGTTGGGAACGGCCACTGTTCCAAACCTGGTAGACAAACTGTGAAGGCAAAAGATTACAAGTCAATAGCCAGCTTTGCTAAATAAATCTGTAACTGAACTCCAGAACAAAATAGCCAAGTTGTTAATTTTTGTTACAAACCTAATTTCTGTCAACAGGGGAAGTAGAAAGGATTGTTAAGAGGATAACATTATTTATTACCCAGTCAATTTTAACTTGTGAATTTTAACTGTGTCTTGTTATATGTATTTTAATAGTATTGTGTTTTATCTCATGTTGTACCCTGCCTTGGGCAGCAAGGAGAGGTAGATAATAAATGTGTTGTTGTTGTTATTGCCTATTCGTATTATGATGGAGCTGGAGAAGAAACCTCTCCACAATAGTGAGGGGCTTCTGGGGGAGCAGAAAAGGAAGAGGAAGGAAACATGTGCCTATCTATCTGTGCTTTCAGCTCACCATGACTCTCATGGGGCTTTCTTAGTCAAGGGTACTCAGAGGTGGTCTTGTCAGTGCTTTACCAATTAGTAACTCAAATGCATGTTCAATAAATTGTATGGATGAATGTAAAATAGGCAGAATGTAGTGAATGTCACCTTGGCTTTCAATGGTCTATAGCAGTGTTCTCAACCTGTGGGTCCACAGGTGTTTTGAACTCCCAACTCCCAGAAATCTCAGCCAGTTTACCAGCTGTTAGGATTTCTCGGAGTTGAAGGCCAAAACATCTGGGGACCCACAGTTTGTGAACCTCTGGTCACTATCTTATATTGTATTATATAATATATTATAATGTTCTGGTTGCGGACGACACGATAAAAAAAAATCTTATAGTGGGATGAAATCATGCAGCCTGCCATATATGGTAGACTGAAGTTCCCAGCATTCTTCATCAATGATTATGTTGGCTATGTTGAACTTGCAATTCAACAGTCTCTGGAGCACTATATAATTTTTATCACTAGCATACAATTTACATTGCAAATGTGTAGATGAAACATCATTCATAAAAAGCATTTTCAAGAGTTCCAGTGAAAATGAGAGCTGAAGGAGATAGAAACTTCTTAAGCAAACCTGCCTAATAAAGTTATTATTATTATGGTATGTATTTGAAACACACCTGTTAGCAATACAAAAAGTGACTGGAAGAATTCTAACAGATTAGTTCTGAAAGAACAAAATGTTATACTGTTGTACATAAATAATAGTTACCTGCTGTGCTGAGAGGCATCCAAGGCCAAGAAACTAAGTGTTGGGAATGCTCGAGGCAAAGAATTAAAATGAGGAGCTAGATTCGCAGAGAAACGGCACCAAGGGGTATAGAACAGGACTAAGGTACAGTCACTGCCGTTTGGATTGAGGAACTCCATTAAATCCTATGAGAGAATTTTTAAAAGATTAAAAATATTTTCCATTACGTGGACTCTTCATAAGGAAAGTAGTGATGTTGTTCTATATGAATGATACATTTTGCCATGCAGTACAAAAGGTTTGTTTCCCGAATACCATACAATTCACTGCCATACAATGAATTAAAAGAGTACTTGGTACTCACTAAGTAACCTATGTATTATCTTTAAGTAGCAATGTTGCCTGTTTTCAGATAGAAATACAAGCACTGCTCACCTCAAACTGTTTTGCTCTTATTGGATTCTTTTTGTTTGATTTAAAGAAAAGACAGCATGGAGAACAATTAATTGGAATTTGAAATATGTTTCAACCATTACCAGTATAGGAAAATTCAAAATCAGAGCCTATCAAATCCTTTTAAATAATCAAAATTAGAATCTATATATAAAAGCTTTAAATAACATAGAAGACTTTGAATTTTTTGAAAGCATTGATATATCACATATATTGGCCTGTGTTAATAATGTATATCCCATATTCAACAATAATCAGAATAAGCATTTTAAAACAACACCGGTATATAAATAATTACATTATATAACTCTCAGTAACTCTGAAGTCTTCTTTATATGATTAATGTATTTCAGAAGATGAACTGGAGCTTCCTGATGAATCTATGAAGAAGCACAATTTTAATTGGGGATTTCCTGGCTCACAGCTCAGTCTTCTAGGAACTGGGCTATACTAACTCTCAGTAATAATGGACCCTGTTTCTACATGACCTTGACAACGTAACATTTTCTTCAAAGTTTACACAAAGTTTCCAAGTTTTAATCCTTTAGGGGGCACACAGAGCACATAATGCCAACACCTGATTACCTAAAAAGAATAATACATTCACAAGATAGTTCCAGATTACTCAAATACACCCTTTGAAGGGTATGTTTGAGACAATTTCTTCAGAAATATAAAGGAGGCATCACTTTAAAATATAAATCAATTATTAAAACTGTAATTGCACAACCAATGTTTATTTTCCCCTAACAGTTTGGGTATCAATCATGCCACTAAGAATTTGCTCATTTGAATTTTAAAAGGTGTAGAAATCCATATACAGGCAGCCCACAAGTTTCAAACAAGACAGATTCTGATGGTTTGCTCTTAAATTGAATTTGTTTGTAAGTAAGGTACATTTTAAGTGTGACTCCAGCCAAAAATATATATTGGATAACATAGAGAAGTGTTAACACTCCTCTGGTGTTTATTTTGCTGTCTAATCCTCTATTCAGAAGATTTCAGCTCACTTTCTGTCCCTGTGATAGCTGGATTTGAAAAAAAAAATGGCTTGTTGTGAAAACAAGGATTGGTGATGCAGCTTCAGCCGAGACACCTTTTCCTCATGATAACTCTTCTGGAAATGAATTTCCATTCTGAGGAGTCAATTTCTCTCACTTCCTGTTGTCTCACCCCCATTCTTAACTCTGAGTCATTTTAAAGCCAGATGTTTGTACCTCAGGGCCTGCATGTACACCAAAAGATGTGGGCTATTTATAAGGGACAACCCCGGGTTTGTTTGTTTTTTTTCAAGTCAGGAGCAACTTGAGAAATTGCAAATCGCTTCTGGTGTGCGAGAATTGGCCATCTGCAAGGACATTGCCCAGGGGACAGCAGATGTTTTACCATCCTGTTGGAAGCTTTTCTCATGTCCCTACATGGGAAGCTGGAGCTGACAGATGGGAGCTCACCCCGTTCCCCAGATTTGAACCCTTTAATCCATTGCTCCACTGCAATGATAACCTCAATGATACGCTCCCAAAGTTAAATGTAGCTGTAAAAAAGCCATTATATATACAGGGGCAAAGTGCATATAGCATATAAAACCACAAACACAGTCCATTGTCTCACTTCTCTGAATCATTCTACCCTGTTATTCCTGCGGGAATTAAAAGGAGAGTTGTTCTATGCAGATTGCCAACAAGGAGGAAATACTGGGTTGTTGTAGGTTTTTTCGGGCTATATGGCCATGGTCTAGAGGCATTCTCTCCTGACGTTTCGCCTGCATCTATGGCAAGCATCCTCACCTCACTACCTCTGTGGATGCTTGCCATAGATGCAGGTGAAACGTCAGGAGAGAATGCCTCTAGACCATGGCCATATAGCCTGAAGAAACCTACAACAACCCAGTGATTCCAGCCATGAAAGCCTTCGACAATACAAGGAGGAAATATTCACAAAATAAAACAGGGTGACTTAAGAAGAAACAGATTACAATGTTTTCTACTTACTTGGGAAATATTCAAGATTTGTAACGTGAAATTTGTGATCCCCGTGATATTCCTTTCCTCACAGTTCACTTTAGGGGTTTTCATGCTGTCTGTACTATTCGTGTCTTCTGCCGATGAAGGATGCACTGCTTCCAGAACTACGGGTTGCTCTACGGATGACTCTGGAGCTTGCGATGCTGATGGAGGAAAAGGCGAAAAAGCAGCCTGCGCGTTGCATTCGCCATCAGCTGTCGCGTCGCAGGTGCCTGCGCCCATCTCCTTCATCTTGGCTGGAATGATGGAAAGTACCACGGACTGCGCAGGTGGCATGCTGCTCCCCATCATGGCATCAGCGATCTCTGCCGTCCTGTACTTCACTCGCTCTTTGGGCCCATCTGGGCTCCCCTGCGCAGGGCTGCTTTCCGAAGAGCTTTCTCTGGACTTTTCAGACAGCAGGTCAGTCGCTTCCTCTGGTTCAGCTGCAGCTACAGGACATAGAACATCATTGAAACATCATTCACAAATATGAGTACATTTGCTGGGGCTCCTTTTGCTAGGCATGGGCCAACTTGGGCCCTCCAGGGTTTTGGACTCCAACTCCCACCATTCCTAAGAGCCTCAGGCCCTTTCCTTTTCCCCCTCAGCCGCTTAAGCGGCTGAGGGGGAAAAGGAAGGGGCCTGAGGCTCTTAGGAATGGTGGGAGTTGGAGTCCAAAACCCTGGAGGGCCCAAGTTGGCCCATGCCTTCCTTATGGGAACAACTGGCCCTTGGCTTCCTCGGGGCTGGGGTGAACTCCTGCCTGGGAGAGAAGCCTGGCCCTGCTCCTCCTCCAACTCACCGACCAGGAGGCTCCAAAGCAGGACAGCCGCCGAAAACACACAGCCGCCCCTCATCCTCGCCAGGCAGCGAGTGAGGGAGACAGGGAGGGAGGGAGGGGCATCCACTGCTGGCAGAAGCCGCTTCCGGTTTGTGGCCCACTTCCGCTTCCGGGAGAGAACAAGCCACGGGAAAGAGCGAAGGGAGGCCTCGCCCTGCATCTCCAGCAGCCATGGGCAAGCTTGGGCCCTCCAGGTGTTTTGGACTTCAACTCCCACAATTCCTGCCAATGCTGAATGCGATGGGAACTGAAGTTGAGTGAGGCACCAGCTCTCTTTGGCGATGAAGGCTACTGCTAGGCCCCTTCCGCACAGCTGAATAAAACCTTATATTGTCTGCTTTGAACTGGAATATATGGTAATGTGGACTCAGATAACCTAGGGCCCTTCCACACAGTCGCATAACCCAGAATATCAAGGCAGAAAATCCCACATTATCTGCTTTGAATTGGGTTATCTGAGTCCACACTCACGGCTCTTCTACACAGCCCTATATCCCAGAACATCAAGACAGAAAATCCCACATTATCTGTGTGTGGACTAATAACACAGTTCAAAGCACCTATGGTGGGATTTTCTGCCATGATATTCTGGGATATAGGGCTGTGTGGAAGAGCCCTTAATTCAAAGCAGATATCATCATATTTAATTACTTATTAATCGCCCTCCATCCGAGAATGCTCTAGGCGATTTACAGCTAAATTGTGGGATTTTCTGCCTTGATATTCTGGATTATGTGGCTGTGTGGAAAGACCCCTAAAGACCTTGTAAAACTACAAATCCCAGGGTTCCATTGCATTGAGTTAAAGTGGCTATCCAACTGCACTAATTCTACAGTGCTGAAGCACCCAATGTTGTGGGTTAAGAACAAGAGATGGGAATGCAGAGGTTAGAAGCATTGGGTGTCAACTCTGCCACCTCTTCTCAGGTTTATTATGCCTCTTTTTCTGGGCGAACTCAGTGGCAGAATTGCAGTCAGTTCTCCCGTTCACAGGTCTGGATTTTGACAGATTAAAATACTCCAGGCCATGAGCAACACAGTCTCTCTGGGAATCCTTGCGTGCTTCACTGCATCTCTGTGGCTAACTTATGCTAGAGGACAGAGAGATTTCGAGAAAGCATACTTTTCTAGGAATTTCTCAGTCCTCCGGTGTGATTTTATAACCAGTTTCCACCAGAGGGCCCCTGGTGGCACAGTGAGTTAAACTACTGAGTTGCTGGACTGGCGTTTGAATCCAGGGAGCAGGGGAACTCCTGCTGTTAGCCCCAGCTTCTGCCAACCTAGCAGTTTTGAAAACTTGCAAATATGAGAAGATCAATAGGTACCGCTTCTGCGGGAAGGTAATGGTGTTCCATCCAGTCATGCTGGCCACATGACCTTGGAGGTGTCTAAGGACAACGCTGGCTCTTTGGCTTAGAAATGGAGATGAGCACCTCCCCCCAGAATCAGACACGGCTAGACTTAATGTAAGGTGAAAGCTTTACCTTTACTTTATCTTCCAACAGAAGTTGACCACAGAGTTGTCCTGGAGAATTTACATAAATAGATCTATATATTCCTAAATAGGTATTTTCTAGGTTGCCGCTGCCCTTGCTCCCACCAACTGGGTAAAAGTATTTTAATTTGCTAAACGGAGGAAACACCATGTTTCTATTTAGCATATAGCCTTTGTCTTGCCTCCAGATCAACAGAAATATTGCCACCACTCTGTTCTCCTTTGGTCAGGCTTCGATCGTGGCACTGTGTCCAAAGCTGGGATTATCAGTGGTACAAGTGAAGCAAATGATCCAGGACCTTCAGTGAGTGAGATTTGCATGTTGCCTCACACAAACTAAATGCATACTTCTTGGACTGTGCTGCTGTCTGGGCAGAAATGCTCCTGGGAATAGAGGGGCTGTCGACCTGTCTCCTTCTTCCTTCAAAATTCACTGTCTACTGCAACTCATTTGCCTGTTAATTGGGAAGTGAAAGCTTCGGGAGGAGGGGATCCCTGTGTCTGAAATCCTGGCCTTGGTCACACCAGCTGCAACTCAGACATGGGCATGTCCAATGCTACCTGGAAAGGGGTTCTGTATGAGAAACTGTTCCAGCAACCCAAACACCTGGACCATGTCCAGCTCAGGCCACCACAATTTTAAAAAGCATATTAACATACATGTTCAGACTTAGATGGAAAATCCTGTGAGGAACCACTGGGGAACTTTTGTATGTTTACCTTGAAGAGGAAAAGACAGAAGTAATATGATATCCCTCTTCAATTATTTGAAGGGCTGCCCTGCAAAAGATTAAGCAAACTTGTTTTCTGCAACTACAAAGGGTAAAGACTGAACCAATGTATGAGAAGAAAGGGTATTTCAGCTAAGAACTTCCAGCTGACAGCTGTTGGACAGCGAAATGGACAGCTACAGAAATTGATGGTCTTTCAAATAAAAGATTTGAGATTTTTAAACAAGCAGGGTGTCCATCTGTCAGGCATGCTTCATCTGAGCAAGGGCTTAGACCAGATGACTGTGGATACATCCCATGTCTATACTTCTCTGCTATCTTTCAGTGGTGCTCTATATTTTTATATATATATTTGCTATGTTTACTTAATGTTTAGACTGTGATAAGGACTGACATGCAGGGTTGTTGAAAGCTGTTTCTACCCACCTCAACCAAGCACCAATGGATACACTGCAGGCCTATTGCATAATCCAGAACCATGCTAACTGCAAATAAATCTTGAAATCAGTAGCTTACTTTGCAGTTTTCATGCTCTAGGGCATGTGAGGTGTTTTATCACATGAGAAAATGTGTAAGCACTTTGATCCTTAGCAAACAGCTGCATTTTAATACCCAAAAGTCATGTTCTCTTGCAGAATTCACACAAAACCAGATCAACCAGATAGGCCATATTATGACACTGCCACCTCAAGTTGTTTTTAGACAAAGTCCCCAAGTTTTGACCCTGACTATATGTTTATTTAAAAAAAACAACAGCTAGCCTAAACATTGTCCCAAGAATTCAATTGTGATATGCCACTGTGGCATTTCTTCATACTATGCAATGTAAGGTAATGCTCAAGATCCTGCAAGGAAGACTCCAGCAGTACATGGAGAGAGAGTTGCCAGATGTCCAAGCTGGGTATAGAAAAGGCAGAGGAACGAGAGTCCAAATTGCCAATATCCGCTGGATAATGGAGAAAGGCAGGGAGTTTCAGAAAAAACATTTATTTCTGTTTTATTGACTATTTTAAAGCCTTTGACTGTGTGGATCATAATAAATTGTGGCAAGTTCTTGGTAGTATGGGCATACCAAATCACCTTGTCTCTCTCCTGAGGAATCTGTATAAGGACCAAGTAGGAACAGTCAGAACTGACCATGAAACAACAGGCTGGTTCAAGATTGGGAAAGGCGTACGGCAGGGTTGTATGCTCTCACCAAACCTATTCAACTTGTATGCAGAACACATCATGCAATGTGCAGGGCTTGACAAATCCAAGGCTGGGGTTAAAATTTCTGGACAAAACATTAACAATCTTAAATATGCAGATGATACCACTTTGATGGCCGAAAGTGAGGAGGAGCTGAGGAGCCTTCTAATCAAGGAGATAGAGCTGAATTCTGTCCAGGAAGGACCAAATGAAGGACATGCCATCAGGGGCAAGGATGGAAGAACCTCGGGACAAGCATCCACAGACAGTTCACCACAGAGCAGCCCGAAAACATAATTTGGAAATGACCAGAGCCAAAGAAGGATGCAAAGCAACAGTGCTAGAAATCTTTGGACTGAAAGCATTCCTTCCCATATACTCCATGAGAGGTCTTTAGCCTATGCCAAGGATTTTGTACCTCCAAAATGACAAGTCCCAGAATTCTATAGAATTCTATAGCATTGAACCATAGTAATTAAAGTGTTGTCAAACTGCATTAATTCTACAGTGTAGATGTTGCATGGTTGCAAATGTGATATATTCAATGGACAGATCTAGACATGGATGTGTTTAAGGGTATATGTCCATTCAAATAGTATAAGTCAAGTAAACTAGGAAAATATGGCATAAAAGTCTGATGATGCTGCAGTGCTAGGACAAAGGAAGCAAATACTGGGGTGCTCTCAATAAAATAGAGAAGAAAAGTGGCATGTCTCAAGGTGCTCAATTGATGGTTTTGTTGGTAAAAAAGCCCATTGTGGGTGACACAAATGACTGCTCATTGGGCGATGTTACCTTCCTAAGAGATTATTTTGTTATATCAGTAATAAAAATTGCCCCATAATGCCATTGATACTTTTTTTGGTGTCAGGAGCAACTTGAGAAACTGCAAGTCGCTTCTGGTGTGAGAGAACTGGCCGTCTGCAAGGACATTGCTCAGGGGATGCCTGGGTGTTTTGATGTTTTACCATCCTTGTGGGAGGCTTCTCTCATGTCCCTGCATGGGGGGCTGGAGCTGACAGAGGGAGCTCATCTGCGCTTTCCCCAGATTTGAACCTGTGACTTGTCAGTCTTCAGTCTTGCCGGCACAAGGATTTAAGCCACTGCGCCACCGGGGGCTCCGTCATTGATACTGAGACAACTAGATGAAAACAACTGTTTTCCTTCACAATTTATATTTGTATTGTATTGGATGGGTTCACAACCAGATTGGGTTTTTTTCTATTTCAGTTCAAAATAACATTGACCTATTTTTAGGACATGTAAGTTATGCTGGTTAAATTTTTTGCAGAAAAGGAAGTGTGACCATTACCCAAACATTACCCAAATTTCCATGTCATGTTAATATGTGCTTTCTTGCTTTGGATGTTTGGGTATTATTATGGAATATCCTTCATTTATTACCCACAAACACATCTGTGGTATGAGATATTTCTATTCCCTGAAATACACTGGAATTCCCACAGGGACATGTGTCACAAAATACCCCAGAGGTCGCTTAGTGAATCTTCATTGTATCAATCAGGATAAGGGTTAAACAAAGTCTCAGTTAAACATAAGGTTTTTTTGGGGTTTTTTTTAATCCCTTAATACAAATGGGCGCAACATTTGGGGGCCACTACATACTTGTATATGTAGCAAAATAAAGCAAGCTGCTCAGATATAACATAGAGTTTGAATATCTCTTTGTATCCAAAGTCTTAAAGCAAACATATTTCTTCACATTTACCTATCAAACATGTAATGGTCCACTTTCATTTAATAATGGAAAAGTTATGAGAAGTATGAAACAGAAGAAATATATTCAAACATAGTTTGCAAAACACAAGACTCCAAAACAAAGCTGGAGCTCTTTTTTACCATCCTGACAAAAAAATTCAGCTTCATTAGGCTGTTTTTATGTAGTTGAAGCCAGAATTTGCCATACAAAAGAGATGCAGTATTTTAAGAAAAGGAGTGCATTGACACTGTAGAATTCATGAAGTGTGGCACAAATTTATGTAGAATTCATGAAGTGTGGCACAAAGTGCTATAGGATCCTGAGATCTGTAGTTTGGTGAAGCACTAGCATTTTTTGGCGAAGAAGGCTAAAAGCAGCTCCCAGGATTCCATACCACTGACCCATGGCACTTACAGTGGTGTCAAACTGTATTAATTCTACAGTGTAGATGCACAGTGGTGCAGCAGGTTATAGAGTTAAGCTGCTAACTTGCTGACCGGAAGGTCGGTGGTTTGAATCTGCGGGACAGGGTGAGCTCCTGTTGTTAGCCCCGACTCCTGCCAACCTAGCAGTTCAAAAACATGCAAATGTGAGATCAATAGGTACTGCTTCGGTAACAACACTCCATGCAGTCATGCCAACCAATGACCTAGGAGCCATCTATGGACAACACTGGCAGTTTGGCTTAGAAATGGAGATGAGCACCACCCCCAGAGTCAGACTCGACTAGACTTAATGTCAAGGGGAAACCTTTACGAGATTGTTAACTGGTGTAAGTTAAAGGGAGCAGTCAATCCCCCTCCAGCTCCACTGGCTACCGATAAGTTTCCGGTCCCAATTCAAGGTGCAGGTATTACCTATAAAGCTCTAAATGGTTCAGGAACTGCTTATCTTAGTGACCACATCCTCCCCTATGAGCCCACATGGTCCTTAAGATCTTCCAGGGGTGCTCTTCTCTCACTCCCACCCCCTTCTCAGGCGCAGTTGGTGGGGACGAGAGAAAGGGCATTCTCGGTGGTGGCTCCTGGAACTCCCTCCCCAGGGAGATTAGGCTGGCACCCTCTCTGTCCACATTCTGTAAGGAACTAAAGACATGGATGTTTCGTTGTGCATTTGACGGACGACTCCTTTGACAGATGGTCTCTAACCATGACCTGAATTCAAATTCCTATATCTGATTACTACATTTTAAGTTAAGCTGAAATGATCCTGCTTAATTGCTCTATTCCTATGCTACTATACATTCTATCCACCTTATTGACCAGTCTATCCTTTAATTTCGTTTCGTGTATTGGCCCTCCCCTCACCAAAAAAAAAAAAATGAGTCTAGAGGTTTTCTCTGTTGTTGCTTGTGATGCTTATTATTGCTTATGTTATTTTTATGCTATTTTATTATATTATTGTTCTGTTTTTAATTGTATGTTGCCTTGGGCTTGGCCCCATCTAAGTACTCCCGAGTCCCCTCGAGATGGAGACAGGGTAGAAAAATAAAGTTCTTCTTCTTCTTCATCATCTTCTTCTTCTTTACCTTTACTTTATAGATGCACATAAGGTTAAAATGATCCATCCTACACACAATCCTTCATGTACATTATATGCCACATGCCAATTTTGAAAGAATCAAATTTATTCAAAATAAATTTAGAAAACTGGCTGCATTTTCGCCAGGCATTGCTGAAAAAATACATGCCTTTATAGAATCAACATTATTTAAACACAAAAATCTGGAGGCAAGGGAGGGAAACAAACCAACATTTTAAAAATGTTTTTTAAAAAACACTTTAGATACTTTAATCTATGCACATGATCCTAAACATTACAGGTTCAAGCAAATTTGTCTAGTTAAGTGCATCCCACAAGCAAGCAATTTGCAAATTTAGTTAGTTTCACTGGGCTGGGAAATTCAGGGGTGTTGAGACTGCTGGCTGCAAAGCTCCCTTGTTGAAGAAAAGTTATGTCCAATCAACTGTGCTGCCTGAGGCAGATATTTAACATCAGAGAAAGGAATCTAGAAACTGCCTATTTTACAAATCTAACAAACCTGGCCTCTACTATGGAGTAGGATAAGTGGAGTTTGAAGTCTCATGACGATAAAAGTTACTGACAAGAAAATACTCAAGAAAGACTCCTTGGACCCCTGACATGCTCTCTTCAGCCATCAGCATAATATTGTCATGAGCAGAATTTTTAAAAATGACAATTCTGTTAGCTCTCACATGAATAAATCATTGTGTGGTTCTGTTGCCAGCAGTCCTGCACCTGGCAGAGGGCCCTGTCTTGAAATGGACAGAACGCATTGTCTTGGTTTTCCATTGATCCTGCATGTGGCGCAAGTTTTTTAAGAATAAACATGCAAGGAATAACCAGCCTTTGTTCAGCGGAACAACCTGTTATTGTGACATTGATAGACAAAAGCCCTTTCTCTGTATAAACCAATGTTGCATTTACTAGTCTCCTTTTTCTTCCAAACAGAATGTCTTAACATTTGTAAAGGGAACTAAAACAGTGTTTTATTAACAGTACTGTGTATTAGAGAGGCTATTCTGGGCTTCATATGGTAAAGGATATATTTTTAAGTACTATCTTTTAGTGCTGTGCACAATGAATACTTTAATATTTTGATATTCCTTTTGTATTATATATTAAGATTTAGGTGACCTATAAGAAGAAACCAAAGCCTTTTCATAGCTGAAAGTTTAAATACATTTATACAATGTATTTATACAATTATTGTATGAAATACAATAATTGTAGGTAGTCATGCTGACACATTTGAAAAGAACACCCCAAAGCTACAATATGGTATTTCTATTAAGACAAAAGGATCGTGACATCAGGAGATAGCTTTTGCATTCTATCAGTCTTGTTCAAGTTGATAAAATGGGGGTATGAAGGTGGGAGAAATCATAGCATGATCTTAAAGCCCCTAAATCTGATATTGTTATGTGATTTCAGCACCACAAGAACCACAGGTTTGGGGCCTAGTGTGACAAACATTTTAAATCAAATTTACATGCCAAAACTGCAAATGTGAAGTTACAACTGTATAGTACAAATAGGCTACAAAATGCTCATTATTTCAGGCTTATCATCTTATACAAATGCTCCAGTCCAATCTAGAATACTCCAGGAATGCCTGTATGTCCTGATCTCCTAATGGTCCCTCTAACTGGTAATGTTGGTAGACATTTTCTGCCTACTTTAAGAAGTCACGTGTGATACAGGGAGCAGCACAATGGGAGAACCAGAAAGGAGTCTGTAAGGATTTTGGTGGTTGGAAAAGATTAACACGATTGTACTTCCATCAAATGCAGGATAAAGCTGGAAAAGCAAATTGATTTATTTTCCCTTTACACAACTGATTAAATTATGATGACAGGAAATTAGGATTTGCTGTCCTAATTTTCTTCTGACATGTAAAATGTTACTTGGAATCCTGAGGTCATATGGCAAGAATGTAAAACATGATAAAGTACTTGGTGTTTAGGGCAATTACTTTATTAATAAATATACATCCATATGGTGATGTAAATAATACAGATCATGAACACTACTCCATTCCCATACAGACAATTGCACATGAGTAGCTGAAGTTCATGGACTTAAGAACATACACAGTATCTAATCAGACTTTTTACAGCAGAAGACAAGGTGATGATACTTAATGAGCAATTGTTTCCACTAAAAATAACATGTTTCATAGGAAACACAAATTGTGAATGATGAAAATGTGGACGTGGCCCATTTAAGCATAAGTTTATTAAACTTTAACAACGTTACTATAACTTTCAAGATGAAATCGGTTTATACATAGCAGACTCATTTAAATGAGATACTTATTTTGGGGAAAAAAGCCAAAGGAAAGGTTGCTTTAGTGTTCTTTCTGGTGTGCATAACTATATTTGAACTATGTTAAATGTATTTATAATAAAAATATGTAAGCATAGGCAGAAATCCAGAGCTCTGATTGCAAGCAACTCTTTTGTATTCAGTAAGTTATGTTATACTTTACTGTACATATAGTAATGAAAAACAGAGCTTATGAAATAGGACAAAAGTTATTTCTGCCACTGCCTTTCAAAACTCTTGAAAATGTAAAAAAAAAATTGATATTAACTGCTTTCTGCATTGTAGATTAGGGAATTTCTTACCCATATAATTGATTTAACTGAATTTGTCCAAAGACTGAAAGAAAGTCTGGAATACAATAAAATGGTCCACTGCAAAATAATGGTGGATGAGTCTTAATCGATGACATTTAATGATTTTTTAAAAACTGCAATACATGAAAAAAACCTAGGTGCAGTGAATGAAACTGCCTGCCTTTTCTTCAAAAAGTGCTATTTTCACAATATTTAGTCCCCTTTGTGATTAAAGCCTCTACTAATGGCTGTGTCAAGATTTTGAAAATATCCAGTGCAAGACTTCAAACTTAGTAGTTAAACGTTATTTGGTTCTATAGTTTAAGTAAATTTCATCAGAAAGTGATCAGTAATTTCTGTTTGTGTTTAAAGTAGAGGCTTCTTCAGTATAGATCCTTATTAATGCTTAAAGATACTAAATGCTTTATTAAAAAATAAGACAAAATGTATATGTTTAACAAAAAAGTAAAGAAAGTAGAAGTCTGACATGTAGATTTTCTGAACAGTGCCAATACACATCAACAATCCTAGCTAAAAGCAGATGTATATAATATAAAATTATCATTTTGCTTTACAAATCATGTATTAATACTACAATGAAAAAGGGCATTCCTCTTCCCACTGCCCAATAATATCAAAGTATAAGAATGAACATGCTGTTTCAGTGTTTGTCATGACAAGAGACAGTGTTACAAAAAGAAGAAGAGCACAATGTATTCTGAAGACTATATACAAGAGTAGCAAAAATATTTGAATATATCATTCAAACATCTCATGTCCTTGACTTTTGCTTTCCCCCCACATCATGGCACTTGTAAACCACAGTAGAGGATAAATGAACTGGAATCAGGAAATGCCCAACAGTGTTCTTCTGGCCTCATTAACAAATCCAAGGTGTTAAAACTGCCTTTAGAAAAATGGAAGAGGGTTTTTATTTTCCCACAACTGACAACATTAGCCTTTGAAATGGGTGTATTCCATCTCATAAAATAAACATAAATGAGCTTACATTGCTTACATAATTTCATTATTTTCTTAGCATACTTGAATACAAAATTCACTATACTAGAACAACAATGCACTTATGTTAACTCCCAAAATGCTGAATGGCATCTCTAAGAAGATGCACATGTCAGAAGTTAAAGAAAGAATAGCATGAGAAAAGGAGGAGGTGATAAGTAGTAGTCACTCAAAGGTACACTGGTGACATGCAACTTGCTCCTTGCCATAAATGTATGTCATTCTTGTTTTTACATTCAGCTGCTTTCCAAGAAAGGTCAGAAAGAGTCTGAAGCAGTCTTTCCAGTTGGGAGAAAAAGATTGTGTAACAAAAAGAGTCCTGAGGGTTAATTAGCTCACATTAGCATTGTGTGTGTGTCGAAAGTTTCACACTGTGGGGAAAAATAAGTTTCATACCTCCAAAGTTACTTGAAGAAGTATATAATGAGCTTCATAGCTACAGCAATAATAATAATAATAACAAACCCGATTTTACTAGCAGTTTAGCTGCCATTAGTTTACATGATTAAAGAGCCTTCCAGTACTGTTGAGGTTCATGGTTGCCAGTGCATACAAAGTCCCCCAAAAACAATTCAATACCTATTATAAAATACAGGAGAAAGTCCAGCTCATTATGAGTTAGGCATCACTGGAACACCTGAAGGCTTGCTGCTTTTTTCCTGATAAAAAAGGCATGAAATGACATCCATTTCTGAAGCTGTCATTACCAAAAATCAGAGTTGTCATATCAAAACATCAGCAGGCCACATCATTTTATTTTACAAAGAAAAAAAAAAGAATACCGTTCATTTTAATCTCTCTAATTAACCAGAAAGACTTCTGCCCCCATGAATTTGTAAATATGTATTCATAACTTCTTTATCATGTCTATTTGAAGATAAAATTAAAAAATAATAATCTATAACTATATGTAAACTTAGTTTCTGACAAGCTATAATTCTAAAGAAATATTTGGAATATCCTCAATATTGAGAGTTTTCTTCCATTACAATGTAATATGTGTATTATACATTGTATCCCTTTCTCATACAAACATTTGAAAATAACAACACATACCCAATTTAATGTAGAACATTTATTTTAGGTGCATAAAATGTCAGAAAATGTATTTATAGTTCTGCACCTCCATGCATAGATGTATTCCTATAGTCTGTTATATATCTGGGTCTATAAACACATCAAATTACAACTTGCTTGTGCATCAGCTGTATCATTTCCAATTATGAACCATGAAATGTCTTCCTTTGGTAAATATATGCTCTCTTAGCTACAGTATGAGTGATAAATAATAAGACTTCTACTGGCAATACTATTAAAAATGACAACATCTTCTATCTGAAAAGGTGTGTTTAAGTCACACCAAGTATTTTTAAAAACTGCAGATATTGTAAATTATTTGGAATTCATAAATTTATGGACAGATTTGGGATAAAAGCCAAATATTATACACATCTGTGGAGACCCAAGGTTATCTAAATCACTTGGAAGTTAAAAGTACAAAAATGTGTAAAATCTTAGTCAAAATCTCAACTAGGACTATAAGTAATATGCATATTTGATAGCACTTTTTGGAAGTTATTTGTAAAACATTTCAAATATTTAATTTTTGTAATCTGGTATGTGTAGTCTTAGGTATATGTCAGTGGCCAATAATTAGTATATTGAGAAGAGTTGCCAAACTTTAATGGCAAAATAGCACTTCAAAAATATCAGGTGTTGAAAATACTGAATTACTCGAAACTGATAGCACTTTTAACACAATGACTGCCTGGAATGACAACTTTTTGAAAAATATATTTTTTAAGTTTTGAAGTATCTACAAATACTTGAGGTCTGTGTTAGGTTCCAGCAATTGTGGAAAATTTATTTTATAGTCTCTCCTACTTAAACATGAAAAAGGGGGGAAAGGTAAAATACATTGCAAAATTGACAGAACAATTATTAGTAAAACGGTACTAAATGATTGGCTTTTGTTAGTCTATTTTTATATATTTTTCAATTTATTGTGACTTTAAATAACCTAGGAGACAGAATTCCTTTATTTCAGTCAGTTGTTAACCACTTAGCTGAGATGGTCAGACAAGTATTTTGTCACTTAGAATATTAGTAATTACTTTCTGGAAACAAACAAGGGCATCACTGAGGAGTCCACTTCTAAACACAAGAAACATATATGATTATGATATGACATCTTAAAAAAATAAAACAGAAGAAAGTAAGTTATGGAAAAGTTACAAAATAAGTGAAAAAACATGCCACAAGTTGGATAATTTAAAAAAGAATTACTGTTCAGATTCCTCCTCCTTCATTCAGTGGGTTGCTTGATTTTACTACTTGTCTCAGCGGCAGCATGCAAAGCTCTGTTATGGACCACAGAGTAAGGGAAGGCTGCACTGCTACAAGTATAACTTAGATTAGCACGCTGTGAGAGAGCTTTAATGCTACCTGGAGGTCTCCCTGGGCTGACTTTGTATCCTGCAGCTTTAGTTGTACCCAAGGGCCTGCCTGGACTTGTCTTAAATCCAGCTGCTTTGGTGGTTCCCAGCGGTCTACCTGTGCTTGTTCTGTATCCCGCTGATTTTGTGGTCCCCGAAGGTCTTCCACGTTTACCAGATCTGTTGAGATTTTTCTTTTTCTTCAGTTCATCTTTCGTCTCTATACTCCTGCCACTTGTGGTCTGCAAATGTGGCTCATTTAATGGATCTTGTCTCTGGCATGGTATTGGCTTGTGGCTGACTGTGTGGCCATACTTTGTTTGTTGCGTCGAATATAAATCAAACTGGTCAGCTGGTGTCCCGTTGTCATCATTAAGACAAGAACTCTTTCCAGTCCCACAGAAAGGGGAGTTACCACTTGCAACAGGATGCATCATTTTCTATGAAAAATAAATTTTAAAATTGAAATAGATGTATTAAATGATGAAAACATACAACAGCAAAGCATTTATTTGATTTACGACTATAAATTTCAATTCAAATTAGATAAATTGGCTCAGAACATAAACCAATCTTTACACAAGAAGTTGTTAGAAGAAAGGACCATTCCAAATCGCTATCAATGTCTACTTACACCGCACCCTCCATGACTGCTAATTGCATAGTTCTATATTTATCTTTGAGGCAGTATAAAAGCCTTAATAATATCAGCATTAAAATAACTCATACTTTCAAATTGTGCAAAAAATGAAGGCATTTAAATAAATGTGAGGTTTGAAAATACTCTTTTAGGGAATAACTGGATCCAAACTAATATAAAGCAATGAACTAATTTAACATCATCATCATCATCATCATCATCATCATCATCATCATCAAAAGCAGCACTTTTTGCCCACTTCTGGATTCAAGGCAGCTGATAACAGAGAAAAAGAAAAACACATAATTAAAATTCACAAAATACAAAAGTTAAGAAGTGATCAAACTATTATTTATCTACTGCATTTATATACCACCTTTCCCCCATTTCAGCACTCAAGGAAACTCATGAACAATAACACAAAATTAAAGAAGGTGTACAATAAACATAATTTAAAAGATCACCATTTTAAAAGTCATAAATCAAACAACATCAAATAATTCAAAACACAAAAATTCAAACTACAGCAATAAAACAGAGAACATAAACAAAAGTCTTCACCTTTCTGAGAAAGTACAGTAGGGAAGATATCCGTTTAACCTCTCTGGGAAAGAAGTTCCAGAGTCTGTGAGCAGCCACTAAGATAGTAATCTCTTTTGTTCCCATCAGATGGACCTATGAGAGTGGTATGATTCAGATGGGTCTCCCCAGCAGATCTCAATGCATGGGCTGGTTCATAAGGGAGAACGCAGTCCTTTTAAGAAGCTGGATCTATGCTATACAGAGCGTTAGGAATCTAAACTAGCTCTTTAGAAAGAGACTGCCAGCAAGCAAAGATGTTGTAACAGGGAGTTGTGTGCTCCTTGAAGCCAGCTCCAGTTGGCAATCTGGATACAGCTCCTTGGGTCAGCAAAAAGTTTTTGAACACTCTTCAAAGACAGCCCCACACAGAGCATGTTATAGTAATCCAATCAGGATGCAACTAGGCATGTATCAATGAGGACAGATCTGAAGTTTCAAGGAAAAGGCACAGCTGAAGCACAGATCTTAACTGTGTAAATACACTCCTAGCCACTGCTGACACCTGCACTTATTGGCTCAGGATTTAACCCAGGAGCACACCCAAGCTGAAGAGAAGGTAACATTGTCTAGCACAAACTGGATCTTAATTCCCTGTTTTTTGACTGACTAGGAGTACATCTAACTCGACTGGATTAAGTGTCAAACTGTTTGGCATTATCTAGTCAATTACTGATGACATGCATTGATTTAGGACTGAAACAGTTTATTTGGTTTACTGTGGAAAAAAGTGATGGAGTTGGGTGTCATCCACATACTGAGCAATTACCACCCATCTTAAAAAGAGCTCACCAAATTTATGTCTCAATAAGTATTGTTCTCAAATTGCATTTTAAGAAGTGTACCAATTATGCTACACAGAAATTTCAAGGAAATTGGTTTTTTTTCGGGTTTTTTCTTTTTTTCTTGTGTAAGGTTAGTAACAATATGGCAGTATCGAGGTTCACAAAAAATATTGCATTTATTTGAACAAATGGGAATTCTACTGCAGTGCTAAGAAACTAACTGTTCAACCAGCCTCTTTGACAGAATGGTATTCAAGTTAAGGTTGAAATCTCCCAGAATGGGTGGCTCTCTGGTCAAACAGAGGCTTCCATTAACAAGTTAAGGAAACAATTTCCAACTATTCCCCTTCCTCAGTGCATTTCCTTCATCTCTTGCATGGTTCCAAATAAACTCTAGAGCAGATTTTGAAGGGGGGGGGGGGGTACAGGAAACAGAAGAATATAAACAAACTACATCTACTGGGAACACAGAGCCTTCAATATACTTCTGCGATCAAATGGGAGGGTTGCCATTTGAGATATCTCTTAATTATTTATATTATCTTGAGAAGAGACGATCCAGTTACTGGAGATATAAAACAAAGCTATCAACCAAATTAAAGCACAAATCCTTTAATTTCTATGCTTCTTTCCAAGTAGCAAACCAGCCCCTGGACGCCTGCAGATTTTTGAATTGATTTCTGTCAAAGACTTGTTGGTCTTTAGATTTCCTAGGACCACTCGTACAGATATATCCTCTTCTATTTCATTATTTTCCCTCCAGGTTTAGAAGACGGCTACTAGAGGTCAAGCAAGAAAGCAGAAGACCTTGTTTTTAATTTGCTTTGATTGTGTGTTCCCATGTATGAGAAGAGGTTGAACTGGATGGCCCTTGTGGTCTCTTTCAACACTATTGTTCTATGAATGAAAGCCAACCATTTCTGATAAGCACAAACCATTTTTAAATGCAAAAAGAACAGCAGCAAAAAAAACCCTTTCTGTTCCTACTTTATTGTCCGAGTGTTATTGTGAAAACCTACTGCTTTGATTAATCAATGAATCAGTGCAAACACCAGCTTGCTTACTTTAAATGGTTAGGCATAGCTTTACAAACAATATAATCTGTACTTGCCTTGTCCTGCAGTACAATAATTCAGATGTCTATATGAGTTCATTGAAGTGAGCCCCAAATAAATGACCACAGGATTTCAACCTTAATGGTTTCCATATTATACACAAAATGAGAAGCCCTGTTAACATAGGCTCATAGTATAATTCTATGTGTGTTTAATAAACATTTAGTCTCACTTTACAGATTAGAATTTATTGCTATTTTACTTTGTTTGAAATAGCAGACCTAGACTTCTAGTATCTTTGTGCAGGAATAAGCAACTGGGAACAAAGGCCAGACAAAGATATAAGGTTTTAGAATCCCTGACTATACCATAAAGCTATCCTAATGCAAAATGTTTACATTTTGGTAACTCAGACTGAAATATATAGTGCCAGTAAAATCAAATAAGGCTTTGAATCTTTCTGTTAAGACAACAGCCTAAATCTAATGAAGAGTTAGGGCATGCTTAAGGGTCACTGATATTCATGATCTAAGCATGCCTAACTCTACTTCAGATGGTTTCCTACACTGAAGTAACTTATAGCAAGCTGTATGATGTTGCAAATGTTATAACATAACAACAAAATGCTATTAATGCTTCTTGCCACACACACAAGAAACACCAAAACATGCACATTCATTACATTTTATTGCAAGCCGCTTTGGGTTTTATATAAATACATATCATATACAATTTCCACACAGGAAATTTGTACCACTGTCAAGTGACTCAGATTTCCACTATCTTTATTTTAGACAAACACATGACAGTAACATATATGTCTCATGAGAGATATCCAATATTGTGCATGTTGACTTTCACTTGTACAAAACCCTATTCCATTGTCCTCCCCAACACAGGAAAACCACACACACAGCAAAAACATGTTGGGAACTGCAAGGGGAGGGAAATGTCTATTGGCAGATTGACACAGCTAGTTTTCACACTGTATTATTCCTTGACTACATTACTGTCGCAGGAACAAAAGTGGCAAACAGAAGAGCTATGCAGGTTATTAGTAAGAAATACTAATAGCCTGGAGACTACACAAATTAAAAAAGTATGATTCTGTAATATTTCAAACCTGCAAGAAACAGCATGTAGTAACTGAAATTGAATATCCTATACTAATTGTACACAGAAGCAAACCCCACTGAACTCAATTGAGTTTATATTTTCGTAGACATATAGGGCTGCATCATTAACCAAAACGTTCTGATAAAACAGCAGTGTTTAATCAAAATACTTTGAATATAAAAGACAGCAAGTACATTGACAGATATTATCCTACCTAATTAGAAGAAACAGCTCTTCTAAGATAATATCTGCTACTAAATCGTGCATCTCACTTAAAAACATGTTTCAGATTAATCATTTCACAAATGGAAAGGCTCTTCCAATTTGCAAAATTCACAAGGATGCATCAGAGAGTCCACACTGTAGTCTCATCTTGCTCCAGTAGGTTTTGAAGCCAGCAATGTAGCCTTTCAGGAAGTGCAAGGAAGAAAAATAATTACAAGGATCATCTCTAAGAGGAATTATTGAAGGTATGCTTACACTTTGAAAGTATTACCTTTATGCATATGCAAAAAGTCAATCAACTAATAATTATACAATTGACAGAGATTATAGCTTTATAATCTGTCAATGTCTTCCAAATCATTTCATGAATTAAGGAGACACAAGTTTCTCAGCTTCTTCCAGTAAACTGCTATGCAACTCTTGTGCATTTGCATTTTTTTCTGGCAAAGAGCAGAATATTATTCTAACAGCCCAACAGTTCTGTACTGCCTTTCTTCTCTGATGGAACTCAAGTATAAGAATATATTCCTTGATCATCTTGCAGGCACGCTTGGTGGGGACACGAGACAGGGCCTTCTCTGTGGTGGCCCCCCGACTCTGGAACGCCCTCCCAAAAGATCTCAGACAGGCCCCTACATTGGCAGTCTTTAGAAAGAACTTGAAGACCTGGCTGTTCCGATGCGCCTTTCCAGAATAGGAATCTCCAATAACAAGTCCCAGAAGCACTTTAGTAGAACTAAGATTGCTGCACACTGCACACTGCACTTGCCCTACAAGCCTCACACACCACCTATCACATAAGCACTTTTAATCCTGTACCCCTTACTCTGGCCTGGCCCAGTTTACACAGTGTCTTGATGTATTGTTTATTGCATGTCGTTAATATTGCTTTAACTGTTTTTAATTTTGCTTTAGGTATTGTATTGTTGTGTTGTGTTTTGAGGCCTTGGCCTTTGTAAGCCGCATCGAGTCCTTCGGGAGATGCTAGCGGGGTACAAATAAAGTTTAATAAAAAAATAAATTTAAAAAAAATCATCCCA